ACACACAAGTCAGATACGGGATGCCGATCGCTTCCGTCGAAATCATGCAACACTGAATCGACGATGTGTTTATTTATTGATCGATCGACGGCTAGGAAGGCTAATTTAGTCTACCCTACAATGACATCCTCTTCGCCTTGTGATTACTATAGGACAGTCGGAGGAGTCATTGCTGATTCCACTTGATTTGTCCCCGATTGATCAGGGTACACGATGCGGCCAATAAATTCGTTTGTGTGAGTAACTGAATGCGAGTATTGGGTAACCATCCTCAACCAAGAAGTCACTTCGTTCATTTTATTGCGCACAGGGGAAATTGATAGAAATAGCATCAACAGAGATGACTACCTGTACGATTAGTGGGGTTTTCATCAATGAGATTCGAACTCAAGGAAACAGATTCCAACGATCCTAGTAGCTCTCGAACGGGCAGTGAATTTGGTTTGCAAACAAAATGTTAGATGTGCCCACAGAAGTGAAGGTAATAGTGTATGGGAGCGGATTCAGTTTCCAGTGTCTATTTATCCAAAAACTACACAGCTTTCATTGAGGCATTTTTCGCACCCAATTATTGAATTTCAATTCTATAGATATTATTCCATTCAATTGTGATTTAAAGTTGATCACAGAATTGATTGCATGGTGTCCATCATCATCTGTAACGGTTTTGTCTATACTGACGTCACACAATATGTGAGCACAAGCGTAAATTCAAGGTAGATCGGATATATGTAATATAATGCGTAATTTGTTGACAAAACCACATTCAATCAAAAATAAGGGAAATACCTATCATACGTAGTACAATAATTTCTTTTTCATGCTCCAAGCTTCCATTGTTTGATGTCTCGCCTGTTCATTTTTCTCTGATGGAAAATATTTACCATAGTGTCTGCAGAAATCCACTCGTTCGTTCGTTCGATTTAGTTATTTCCGTAATGCACTGAAACCGATCGATTGTCTATTTGACCAGTGTGGCCGGTATTAGTCATGATCCTCGGGACTGATTAAGCTCAGCACGTGATGCCAAAACGTGATTCACGAATTACAGAAGTGTATCACTCTAACACAGTAGGGGCTAGTTAGACCCAGATCATGATTGTTACGGTGACCTTTGTCGATCGACTGGAGTAATTACGTCAGTGTTCTGATTATCGTTCAACCCTTCGCACAGACGCTTGAGTACGACGGCGGTCATTGATCGATCGGAGATTCAACATCCGGTAGCACAGTTATGTCACTGCAACAGTGCCGATCAACTGTAGTCCGCTCGCATCAACGAGACTAATCTTACGGCGACTACCGTGACAAAAATGCCCACAAAAGCTCGAAGTGTTCGACAGGAGTTTATCTAAAAAGGAAAACTGGGATGTGATACATTTTTTAAACAAGCCACATCTTCATCACCACAATCTAAACGGTCGATTTATTCTTGAAAATGACGCGCATCATTGACCACGTCATTCGTAAAACCTTCGATCAGATAGCAAGTATCATGATTCAATATGCATTCGGGCCCAGATTTTATGAAAGTATTGATCAGTACGTGCGGATGAACAGACATTAAAGCTATTTACCTGTTGCATGAGGATGTCCATCTCGGTTTTTATGTTTCATTGTTCATCTTCTATGAAAGACACAGCGTTTAACTTTAAATATTACCGGGATGAACATTTGAAAGACCAAATCACACCCTGATCTATAGAGGTGGTAGCAACAATGGTGAACAACTTGGAGGCAGCCATGTGGTGATTTCACATTGCAGAATGTTGCAGCTTTGTTGTAGCAACAGGCATCCTCGAGGAACCATTTTGCTGCTGATATCGGACAGCCAATGTTGGTTTAAGGCAGAAGTGTTCCATTCATTTTGTTGGAACAATTAGAATTGCAGGATAGGCTTTTGAAATCTATACAACGGATATCCTATAGAGTTTCCTTTAAATACCAAGTGATTCTGATACAGAGCTCTCAATTGCACCGGGCTGATTCAGTATTTACAAATTCTGCTTCTCTCTAACCAATTAGTGTATGCACATTGTCACGCAACACGACACCGTCTTGGACTACTGGTATCTGTGAGCCTTTCTCACATGGTTGAACTAATCAGTGAGCAGTGTTATGTGCACGTCACACACTAGGTGAAACATCATTGGCCGAATGCGATTTTACATGTCGGTCGACCACTGATCAACGCGGGCATCGGTCAATGATCAAATGAGTGCGCAACAGGAAGTGTGAAATGTCGAGGGGGTAATACTGTGTAGTAAGGACAGCGCACCACTCTTTTGAGTTCACTAAAAGTGGAAATCTATTTGAAAATGCGAGTACTCATGAAACTGATCGTATACCGTTCACCCAGTTGAACAGCACGCTGTCTTTTTGTTTTCCCGATTTTCTGTATTGGGTTACGGGCCCCCAACAATTCGGTGCATTCGCGTCTCGATTGGTCCTAGCAACATAGAGACCAACAATGAAAAGGTGCGTTTTAATGCGGTATAAGCAGACCTTTGAAAAACACGAAGGATCAGGGTTGGTTAGGATTTGGCTAGTAGCAAGGAAGGGACATGGTATCAGTCGACTGTTAATGATGTCTTGTATGCTTTGATAAGCATCATTTCACACACACACACACACAAAACAATTATTTCTTAATTTCGGATTAAACAACGTGACTTGAAGTAATGATTCAATCGGATGAACTGTTGTCATGATTGATCAGACCACCATTGCCGGCCATCCAACCTGGTTGCAGTGAACGTGTTCAGCTCGAATAGGATCGTTCTCTTCAGATGATATCGATCCAGCTTTCGTACTCAGTTCAGTTGCGTTATGATTGGTTGTTCGCCTACCGATACACACACACACCCAGATGAATCACGATTAGTGGTAAATTGTCTGGTGCACAGAGCGAAAGAAGCGAGACCCGGAAATCTAGGGAAGCACTGCACACAGCTGTTTTGACCTGACTAAACCTAATCAGCAGTGCGAATCAATTGATCCACAATGAGGATCGCCAATCGGGGACTTCAACACAGGTGGAATGTAAGTATGCTGGCCACCGGGCAGCGGCGGATCGGTCTGCCTTTCATTTTACTTATTTATCAGCAAGTTGTTGGCAGCAAGTTACCCGGAATTTTCTCGATCACTGCTCATTTTATGTCTTTGTTTTGCAGGGTGTAAACGTGACAGATCAAGCAGCATTAGAACGGTTACTCACGCTATTGGACGAGTCGTATCCGCGTTATCCGACCGGGGTTTATAACACGGAAATCGCCACCCTACTGGACACCGTCCGAGATTTGTGTGGTCGAAGGACTACAGGTAAGAATTTGAGGCAAATCAGTCTGAATCGATTTCGACTCTGTTGTAGACGTGCGCAGAGATAGTGAGAGGTTCACTTTGAAAAGAACGGAAATTCAACAATACATCAGTGTGATTGAGACTTTGCAGGTGAGTGTTTTCTTCTTAATCAGTTCAGTTGCTTTTCACACAAAAATAGGTGTCATAATTAGGGACCGAGCAGTGATCTGGCATCGAGGTGGACAAGTGTGACCGAATTACACCTCGATATGTCTGTCTGTATGTGTCCCTCTGTTTAACTGTCTGTCGACCTGTGGTAATCGGAACAGTATTGAATATCGGAATACAAGAACCCGTGTTGTAGTAATCATAACTGGATTGGCTTCAACCCAAACTACGGACACCAATGAAATACACTAAGATTTGGTAGCAGCAAGTGCCAATGCTTAGTGACAGAAATAAAGTATGTTATTTTAGAAGGTAATAAGCCATATCATTGGTTGAAGGACCGTCGTCCAATCACATAACCGTTTGCGCAGAAGCATCACATGTACTATGTCACTATGTTTCGGTAACCAAGCACTTCGGGATCGTTAAATTTGGTATGGCAATAATAGCATGCAGTATCACACAGGGGACTCAAGAGGACTTTGACAATGGCTTTACTAAATTGATTTCTCCTAAGGAATATGTCTCTTGACGTGAAAAATTATCTACAACCAAACCAGGAGGCGAGGAAACAAGTCAACCTTTATTTTTCAAGGTTGAAAAAACGTTTAGACACTTCCAGTAAGGCTTCGGGTTGTTTGAACTTCAAAACTGCTACATTCATAGTTCGTGGGCAGCGTGGGATATCGGTCTACGTGCGGAAGCGAAGTTGAAGGATACAAATTCTGCCAGTGCTTCTGTGGCTGTAACCCAGATGGAATCTGGAAAAGTAAGATATGAGAGTAAGAAGAAGCATCATGATCACAGGATGTGGGTTGAATTCAACTATTTCGTGGTAATCTCATCAGCTGTGATCATACTTTCAGATCACGTTTGGTTAAAAAAAAACTGACAGGTTTGGGGACAGGCGAACACAACACACGCGGGGAAGAGAAATCAATCAATACAATGACCAAAGGTTACTAATATGAACCGGCATGGACATAGGGGGCAGAGAGCGGAATCACTGCTGGGGTGAGGGGGGTGGGGAGGTGAGAGGGAGGAGAAGGACAGTGACACACCGACCAGCGGGGGCAGCACGAGGCTAGCCACATATTCGATCTGTTTACACAATTCGGGCTTGTAACGTCGAATGCCAGCCGCTTCAGCGAACCATGTTAGACGGCTACCTTTCTGGCGGATCAAGACACGAAAGGCGTCCCCAGTTTTGTCACAATCTTTGCAATCCAGTATATGTCAGGCGATTGAAATAGACAGAAGCTTGGGCCCGGTAAACGCCAAATTTTTCAGTGCATGTTCCGCTATCCTGGGATTACCATGAAATAGTTGAATTCAACACACCTACACTCATGATGCTTCTTCTTGCTCTCATGAAATTGCTGAACGGAACTGGTTGCAAGAAAGACGTGTATATCGAAAGAGCATGATCGATCTGTGTCTTATTGCAGTCGCTTGAGGTGTAGCTCATAAATCCTATTACAACAACATGCGTTGGGCGTAGGCCATTGCTTAAGCGTTGATCGTGCATGAATATGGCCCGATATGATCTTTCAGATGGAGGAGGGGGACGAACACACACGTGCACACACACACACACACAAACACTTGCGCGTACTGCCAGTAGTAGTAATGTATTACCGAGACATATCTCACAACTGTCCCTCCCCCGCGCTTCAGCGGGAGGTTAGGAAATCCTTGTTGCACAATAGAACAGGCTTGAGCACCAACTGCACGTAAAGCATCGTAAGTACCGTGCCGTTGTGGTAATCCTGGCATACGAGATGACGCAGACCATGGAGCGACACGTTACAATTTTCGTACGACTGTGATGAATCAAGCTTCCCAGGTGACGTCAGCAAAGCGCGTTGGTGTCACAGCTTTCAGACCACGAACCGTAGGCCGACTGTAGCAACAAATCAGAAGCCGTGCGGCTCAGACAGTAGCTGTACAACGCCAGAAATACTATTGCTCCATTGACAGAGGTTTCGATGACCAATGAATTTGTTTTGTACATATTATTTAGACCCCATGATTTCTTTCAATAAATGAACTGCTATTCCCGTGTCCTTGTCATCGCGTCTCATTTACATGGGATACTGTCGTGATGGTACCAGAGTGATTCAGTGCTTACGTGACATCTGTGATTTCTGCTACGTTATTTGTATTTCGTGATCAGTGCGTACTATAATTATTACAGCCGTCTCACACATATCCTATTGCGCATCGTTAGTGACTGACGCGGGACTCGGTCAAGTCAAGTCACGTCAAGAGTGCAATTTATTCATCCAATGTAGACAGAATTTTCAGCGATAATCGCTAGTGTGGTCAGTTTTTGTGATTGACGTGCTGGTGGGTAATCAATAATTTTTGTCCTCTGTTTTTCTTTCACAATCAAATCTCAGATGCATATGCACAAATCACGAAAATTTGAGACTCGGTTCAGCACAACTATGGAATGGCACGAAACACAGCAACGAATAGTTCAAGAAGCGCACCGATTGATGTATTCGATCGAGACTATACAGTGAGTTTGGGCAAACAATTCTTATTATATCCTATCTGGGGTGGATGGGTGGATGTGTGTCATTTGGATATGCTCAAGAAAAATTGTATTGCTATCGTATATCAATAACTGAGTCCAGTAGAATGTAGTAAATGTACACATCAATTTTCTAATTGTACGTCATAGTGGGTAAGGACTAGGACTAGTTCATAGGGAGGATGGCATTAATAAACGATACTTTATAGAATCTCTCTAAGTTAAATTCGCGAATTTCGGAATTGCAAAATATTCTCCCAACAGTAGTTTAATCATTGACTCAGAGTCGAAAAACCCGCATCCGTTCCAGTCTATGCAACCATGAACTTTTTTACTCCGCGTGGCTACATTCAATCGCCCAAACTCCATGAACACATAGGAATGCTATGCCTGGACACAATCTAGCTCACCGGTAAACGTTAAACTGTCCGCTGCAGTGCATCATACAGTGTATCGACAGACAATGATCCCGGTTAAGTAATTTTGTTGAACCGTACAATTAACAATATCATATTGGTGGTATCAGTAAAGCATACTACATTAATTTAACGACGCCTAGTCAAATTGGATTCAGCCTTTAAATAGGCCGATAAAGGAAGGTAAATGACATGACAGAGCTTCCGGGTGTGTGCAAGACCACCGCGGTAGTAAGTAGTTTCTAAAACAGGCTTCTCTAGTACTGCATAGTGCACCAAGGTTTCTAGTGAGATTCTGTTTTGGTTTTTTATTGTATCAGTGATTTTGGTTGCGTATCAGATTTTGGCAGTATACAATCCAGTGTGTCTGTGTATGTGTGTGTGCACACATGTTGTATAACTACGGTTTCACACTTGTGAAAATTCCTGCTTCGACAGATAATAAGAATGCTGTCACTCAAATATGTATTTTTCATGCATGAACTTTGCAAATGACCTTCATTCATGCATTCACTCATTCATTCATTCACACATTCGTTCATTTCGTTCTTTCTACCCCGGGAATCGCATGATCCGTCATCGCTGGTATAATGGTTACACTAATCAGCGAGGTTTCACGGCTAGATTTACAAAGAGTGCAGCAGATAGTGATCGAACTGCGGAGATTGAATCGAACACACTGGGAGCAACAAACCAGTGGATCGTCTGTGACTGAAACGGACCAACTGTACGAGACCAGCCCTTCGGTCACCATGGAATCGACAACGAATGAAGATCAGGAACAGAGTAGCACATCTTCTATGACAATTGAATCGCGTTATCTGCGTGAATTTTATGATCGGAAATACACCCTGACCGAGATTGAAGAGAGGCGATTGGAAATTCTTCGACAACGGAAACGATTGAATCAGATAAATATCGAAAGAACAATAGATCTTGGGGCATTGTTAGCTCGGCCAAGGGAAGTATTAGAACGATATACCACAACCACAAATATTCAAATGCGACCAAGCACAGATCGATACAATGTGGTCTACGTGGAGGTCACACCACAGCCTAGTGATACCGATAAAGTGCCGGAGGTCCGTACAGATGCGGGGACACAAACAGATCTAACTGAGCCCAAATCGGAAAGTGCGGAAAAATCGGTTCAGAGTGCCGACTGGCTGAATGAAACCGCCCCGATCGAGATCACCGATAGTACTGTGATAGTGACCAAATCGAAATCCGAATATCTGAACGAAACTGTTCAAGTCGACTTGGACCAGTACATAGCTAGACGGGAACCGACAATCCAGGTCGACTCTGCTTTCTACTCACAAAGCATGCCAAAATTGGAAGAAAAAACAGTTGGTTATAGACCGAAAACCCAATTGGTCGATAGAAATGATCAATGGGTACAAACAGCAGCATGGCAGCTAGAAACACAGATACACAAACAACAACAACAACATCAACAATTATATGAACAAGCGGAATGTGTGCGGCGCAATACATATATGAATCGCGGTACCGAAATCAAGCCACAACATAGTAAACCACTGACGGTAGATGAGTTAATGGACTACACGGTACACGTTGAATTCGTACCAACTGGAACCGTGAGACACGAGTTGCGAACAACAGCGAGAGATGCAACAACACAATTCGAGCGCGAAAAAACGTACAGAAACAACGGTTCCGAACATGTATGGGTTGGAATGGAGAAACCCGGAGAAGATATAATCATCACGTCACTAGGTTACAGGCCAACAGCACCGCAGAAAGAAAAGACAGAAAAGAAAAGTGTATCGATTCAGACAAGTCGAACAAGATATATGGATTCGAAAACAAACGTGACGCAAACCACACGCCCATTCAAACCAGAAATGGCAATACCAAGCGACGGACACTACCAGGAGAACCAGATAACTCAGATGACACAAACACAGGAACTGATGATCACACAGGACGACATAGTATACAGAAAAAAACCGGAACGCAAAACAGACCAAAACGTACAAACAGCTGAATACCGGAAATATATAAACAGCTCGGCACAAAACGAATTTCAACCACAACAGCAAAAAAAAGAGTTGGTGGAAAAAATAGCACATTATGAAAAACAAACGCAACCAGCAACCAAAGAATTGACAACTAAAAACAAAAAAGATATCTCGACAGAAACTCCACAG